AATAGACACATATCACTGCTATGCATAAAATCCACTCTAGTGTTGTTTGGTTTTTCTTCAAATATTTTATTATTGTTATTATTATTATTATCATTATTTTATGTGTATGCGTGTATTGCCTGCATGTAGGTAAGTACACTCATGTCGTGCAATGTCCATGGAGGACAGAGAGGCTGTCGGATCCCCTGGAACTGGAGTTATAGACAGTTGTTAGCTGCCATGTAGGTGCTGGGATTCGAACCCCGGTTTTCTGCCATAACAGCCAGTGTTCTTAACCGCTGAGCCATCTCTCCAGCCCCTAGTGTTGTGTTTTAATGTGAATTATTCTTATATACTCTTCAGGAATTATTTTCCTGAATTAAGAAACTAAGTGATGCTTATCATCCCTGTAATTTAGTGAGAAATACAGAAATCAAGAAAATATATAGTACAGATATAAGTAGCCTGATTACTACAGGAAAATCTCATGGCAGAGGACTTGACCCAACACTGACACCATCTCCAAATAAGCTATATTGAGAAGATTATTATTTTGAGCTAAAGAAAATTGAGAATCAACAGATGCAGGAAGAGTTCTCCATTCCACCCACATTGGCCTAAAAGAATATTTTTTCTACTTAAGAAAAACATCACTTTCTGTACCCCACCCTCACTCTTTGACACCAGTGCACATAACTCATCATAGAATATGGGAGATTGACAGCATGATGTGTTTACACATATAGAATTTTTGAAATTGTCCCTTTCTTCCACTAGTTTCTCTGCATACTTATTATTCATGTCTTTAAAATTTATAATCTTTAGAAGCCCAAAGCCTCTTTCCTATACTAGGAATCCATAAGCCCCTGGTCCTAACTGCTCACTTGAGGTTCACTTCTATTCTGAAAAGTACCATGGACAACATAACAGTAATAAAGGTTGAGTTCATTTTCTTATATCAGTTTGTCTCACATACCCTCAGGTGAAAGTAAAGGGGTAGATAATACTTCTCCTGCCCAACAGAGCTGTGATCTAACTAAATTTAGAATACATTAAGTAGGAAGCATTTGGAAGACTGTTTTTCAGTTCCAACATTCATCACAGCACGAAGTACATACTGCAACCCTATGAGAAAGAGTCTAACTAATGAAGTCCATCAAGAAATAGCAATAGGTCACATACTGGGGGAAAGAAAGGCAGATACATTTATTCCATTAAATATAGCTTCCCACCCCTCCATTCCTGTGCCACAATCTCTGTCCAATCAGAGGGAAACAGCCTATGGGTTGTCAATGGCAGCTCAGTGCGGACCTGGGACTGCCCACTACTATCTGCCCATAATAAGGTAATACTACATCCCCAAGTTCCTGCTGGTAGACAGTAGAAGAGGAATACTAAAAAGATGCAATTCAATGCAGAGTTTGAAAGGAATAATACCCGAAAGGTCAGGATACAGTGACAATCCCTCAGCATTTCAAGAATCAGAAGAAAGCTACAAGGGCCACATGGAGTGGTACGAAACAACGTGAGGGCACCAAGGGTGGACTGCTCCTGTCAAGAGGAACCTGTGCTCCAGGGCTGTGCTTAAGCAGTGCTGTGGCTACACATCACGTGCACTGGCCATGGTGGTGCTTTACACATGCATCACAGTATGACAGATGACCATCTGGACTTACAGGCTGAATTATTAGTCAAAGTCAAACACAATTGCGTTTCCTATACTAATACAGTCTCTCTCCCAAATTTACAGGTTACAGATCCACAGACCCAATCAACTTCCGATAAAAGATATTTTGAAAAATTACAAGCATAACATTTTTTTTCTTTGAATCATGACCCTTCAAGAACAGAATATAACAATTGTTCATACAGCATTTACTTCGCATAGTTTTCTAAGTAATCAAGAGATGATTTAAACCACCACATAGAAAATATGCAAATACAGATATAACAGGTTTTATACAAGGAACTTGAAATTCATGGATTTTCATAACCAGAAAAGTAATCAACATAGGATGACAGGTGGAGCCCTAACATTAAGACAAACCCACATAGTACAGAAACCAGACAGAAAGACAGTTTCTTGGTTTTGCTTTTTGTTTGCTTGCTTTGAGGCAGGGTTTTCCTGTAGCCCTATCTAGCCTGGAACTCACTGTGTAGACCAGGCTGGCCTTGAACTCACAGAGATTTGCCTGCTCTGTCTCCTGAGTGCTGGGATTAAAGGCAGAAAGATGGTTTCTTAATGATGTCACTATAATCCAATTTAATCAATCCTGTCATTCATTAACTTATTTTTATTTTTCAATATTTCATTATTTTTATTTTATGTGTATGAGTATATTGCCTGCATGCATGTAAGTGTAAAAAAGGTCATGCAATGCCTGTGGAGGTCAGAGAGGGTGTCAGTCCCCTGGAACTGGAGTTAGGGATGGTTGTTGGCTGCCATGTGGGTGCTGGGAATTGAATCCAGGTCTTTTGTAAGAGCAGCCAGTGCTCTTAACTGCGGAGCTATCTCTTCAGCCCCCATTAGCTTATTTTTAGAGTCACGGGAAAAAATTTTTGTTCCCTACTTTCAAATACTCTTTGAACACCACAATAAAATGGTAGAGAAGTCCATTACATTAGCATACTATAATTAAACAAATTCTCTAATACTGGATTGCGAAGGGTTTTTTTGGTTTTACTTATTCATTTTTTGCTTTCTCACACTAAGCACCACCCCCCGCCCCCCGCCAATTTGGAGATGATACAATGAACATCTTTGAGCAAAAGATTTTACCTAGATTTAGCATACGGTTCACTTCGAGAAGTAAAATTACTGTCAAATGATACCGCCATTTTTTAATCTCTTGATAAGTCATACTAAGCTGATTTCAAGTCAGTGTGGACTTATTGAACTCCTGCCAACCATGCCTATGAACAGTTTTACTGTATTCCTGTCAGGAATCCTTAGTCCTCCTTCATCTGTGTTGAAGGAACCCTGATTTGAATTCTGAGTAGTTTAAATGAACCTTGGTAATCCCAGCATTTTCCCCTTGATTCTTCTTTTTATATAAGGCAAATTTCACAAGCTCTGAGAGTATTCCATGGACTCTGCTGGGCCACTGTTTTATAAAGCACTACCATGGGCAGTGCAACGGGAACATACTTAGAACTGTGGGAAAGACTAATCTGGAGAAGCGCAATCTTACCTAACCTTGTAACAAAGTTAATCTTATGTTTTGAGACCATTTAACAGCGTGAGCTTATTTACAAGGTTAACAAGCTTACTAGGCCTTTGGATCTTTTGGTAACCTATACATATAGCTTCAATGACTTATAATACTCCCTTGCATATGACCCAGAATATTGTATGTGTGGGCGTTTGTTGTGAAAATATCAAATGCTAAAAGTGCAACTAACTTCCCATTTATGTGGTAAATAAAAGGATGAGCTGGATAACGGCTGTTTATAGTTGTATGTGCTGTTCTGGGTCAGTAGGAGTCAGACAGGAAAAATCCTTTGTTAAGACAGGTTTCTCATTCCTTCCCCATATGCTGAAGTACTGTTTCAATAAAGACAGAGCAAGGACACTGAGAGCCTAGTTCCATGAGAAATCTGAAGCAACAGGTTCTCAGAACAGATGGGGCACCACTCTTGGCTTTAATACAGCAATGCACTACTTATGTACCTAAAATGTTCATCTCCTCTTGCCAACTCTGGGAAGTTCACGTCATTCCTTATAACTCCCAATGACAAGACATAATTAAATGAACTCATTCATTACTCAAAAGTCAAATAAATTAGCAAAGGAGGGGAAACAGATGATCAACTGCTCAGGAGCAACTTGCTAAAGCAACTTACACTTTAAAATTTTTAAAGTGTTTCACTCAGTTTTTACCCCTAGCTCCTGTGGAAAAGCATAAGAAACAAGTTTTATCAAAACCCACAGTTTTATTTATATAAAATCCCTCAAGGGCCCAATCAATGACTGGGTCTGTGTCCTCTCACTATTTGGCACTGAGGCTCCACATCTGTGCTTTCTCCTACAGACTGTCTCTGGATCTCAGTGTGACTGGTAAAGCTGTTCATGTGTTAGCACCAGAAGACAACAGTCTGGTAACAGAGGGTCCCCTCCCAAATTTCATGTTCATTTGCCTTCTACTTGCAGTGCTGTCTGCCTGTGCCACCATTTCCAGAATTGCCGGGCCACATCACGCTGACTCACGCTGTTCTTCCAGCACACTGCAACCAACTGACCCACAGTCAGTGGCCAACTGATGGACATGTTTCTTCATTTATAAAACAAACAAAGGGGAACTGTGGGAATGACTTTTCTAGACAAATGGAATCTTATCTTGTAAACAAAGATGATCTTATGTTTTGATATCATTTAATAATATCTGTTTGTTTATAATGTAAACAAGTTTACTTGGCCTTGGGCTCCTGTAACCAACATATGTAGCTCATGACCCTTCCTTGTCTTGACGCAGAATAATATGTGTGTGTGTGTGTGTGTGTGTGTGTGTGTGTGCACATTGTGAAAATATCAACTGCTAAAAGCAGCCAATAGTCATTGGAACCAAGAAATTTTCCCATTTATGTTACAAACAATATGTTGGGCCAGAAGGAGCCAGACAGGGAAAACCTCTTGATAAAATGGGTTTCTCATTCCTTCCCATACTATGTGTGATGTAAAGAAAGAGTAAGGCCTTTGTTTGAGGAGAGTTCCCAGAGAAATGTGAAGTAAGTTCTCAGAACAGAAAGGACTCCACTCTCGTTTATTTCCCCCCACCCCACTCTTGGTTGTAATGATGCTAAGAGTCATGCAGTCGTACAGACAGCACCACAATGTGGCTTCATGCCACTGCATAGAACCAATTCAACATTAACTAAAACAGTTCTGAGCATCCAGCTCTCTACTTGAAAAAATAGTACAGTGATCATTAATTTGAACTATGCAATTAGAAAAAAGTCATGTTTAAATTAAAATAGTCTTCAATTAGATTGCGAAAGTAAAGGGACATGAAGTATGTACTTACAAATCAAACACCAGATAGTGGAAGCCTTCTTCTGATATACTGTCATGAAGTCTCACTGAGAAAAAGAAAACAGAGAAGAATGTTTGCACGGTCTTTATGCCAGTCACACACATAACGCAAGTCCTGTGATGGGTATTGCTCTGAATGTTCAACGTTGTGATATGCAGTGTCATTTACAGCATGGCATGGATAGAGACAGACCCAAGGTCTGTGCATCTTTGGTAATAATTATTAACTATGTGAATTTAGGAAAATTATATGATGTATAATGACATTAGTAATGTAAAAATGCTTGAGACTAAATGACACAATAAAAGAAAAATAATCCACACATTGCCAGGTAATGGTCATTGGTGATTATTTTATATATATATATATATATATGCTACTGGTGATTAAAATACATACACAAAGTTGCCAGGTTCAGGCAATTTTAATACTTCTTTGCCATTCCTTTTGCTGTTCCCCTAATCCTAACTTCACCAACCCATGCTGGCCTGCTCACCACAGCAGGGACAGCAGGCGAGATACTGCAATCTTGTAAATGGACTCTTGCCCATTCTTCCCTTTTATCCTTGAATGTCTACATGGCACTCTCTGCCTACCTGCTGAAACACTGTTTTTGTTTTTGTTTTCCTTTGTATTATTCCTTTATTTAAATCACACCAAGCCTAGCTAAAAGTATCACTTATAACTTCTTTAAAACCAATAGACCAGTTCCTCCAATTCATGTCAATTTTCCAAAAACAGGAGACTTGCAGGTGACAGCAACTGAAATCAATATTTCTCTCTTAGGCATTTAAAACATTTTTTACACCAAACTACAAATATGAACTTACTACTTTGTCTGCTATTTAGTTTTACAAAGGCCTCCCTCTTTTCCCTACTCATCTCACACTGATGGTAATGCTTTCTGTTTGACTTTTACTAAGGGCAACGCAGGGAGGAGAAAAAACCAAACTTGAAGGATGTGACTGCTTTTAAAAAAGTTATGGGAGATGGGACAAGTGTTTCTGCCTATATCCACCCTTAGCACGCACCCCATTGGTGATGGCAGCTACATGGAAAATGGGCTTAGGTCATCGTTTAAACTACAACCATCTAGAGAGAAACGCTACAGCACAGAAGAAAAGTCTGACCGCACACTACAACTGGCACACCCAACGACCCTGCTTTGTCTACTTCAGGTCTCACTGTGAAATCACTGTAATTTTCCAAATCCCTGTTCAGAAATCTCTCCGGGGTGAAGAAAAAGGAAATTTTGATTCACCCACAAATTACAGATAAAACATGAATTTTCCATAGTCATTATCATGGGGAGGAGGTAGGAAGCAGAGCCCCAGGGCTCAGCCCCCACAGTCAGGCTCAGCCCTCATCTCCCTCTCAGGCAGACGGCAGAGAAGGAGCACACTGGGGCTCCCGCTTCTCACCTTAGGAGATTGTCACCACTCTCAAATATTTTGATGTAGTATATTTCATCTTTCTTAGCTAAATCAGATGCTGTTCCCTTCTTCAGCATGTAAAATGCTCTCACCAATATCTTTAAGTAGGGATCATATTTTAAGTGTGCATCTTACACATAAACCTGGTATATAGTTCCTTGTCTTTAATAATGTCATGTTTGAATGTTGACTATGTCTGGATTTTGGACAGAAATTATAACCATACTTCAGTGTACCTATATATCTAAAATCAAATAATCTATTTGAAGCAATTCTCTGTGATTTTTACTACGTGAAGACAGTTCTTCAATTTGCCAGCATCAAAGATGCCTGGCAATTCTCTAAAAATCAATGAAGAGATTGATTTGAAAGTGTATGCTCTGCTGGGGCTGGAGAGATGGCAAAGTGGTTGAGAACACTGGTTGTTCTTGCTGAAGACCTGGGTTTGAATCCCAGTACCCACATGGCAGCTAACAACTGTCCATAACTCCAGTTCCAGGGGATCCAACAGCCTCTTCTGTCCTCATGGGCATTGCACAACATGGGTGCATTTACCTACATACAGGCAACACACAAAATAGAAATAATAAATAAAATATTTTTTTTAAAAGTGTATGCTCTGCTCATGATTATTGAGCACTGTGAAAGAGGCCAGATGACGGCGGCTAACAGTGCTTCCTTGAAGGACCGAGTATCAGAGACACCTAACACAGTTGCTGTTTCAACAGGTTAGTTTAATGGCATGGCTACTTAAAAAAAAGTCTTATTACTTTACAAAGTGAGATGGAGTCCCATGTTATCCAAGTTAAACTGAAAAGCAAAATTCAAAGCTTATACAGGAGTAAATCATCACGACAAGCCCCTACCCTACCCCCTACTGTTTGCTTTAAGAGGCAGTGGGATCTTGGATGTTCAGATCGAAGAGTTAAACAGAAGAATATATTTCAGGCACAATTTGAGAAACAGTTTTAATTTGTGATTATATCAAGAAAAATATTTTCTTAGTATGACATCACTGTTTTAATGGTAATCTACTAATTGTAAATTTTCATTATTCAGAAATGAATTTTTGACCACGTCACACAAATTGCTCAAAGTCCAATGATGAAACCTCTGATAATAGGATTTAGTCAGCAAGCATGTGGTGATGGGTCAAGATAAAACATTTGTCCAAGGGGCTAGAGAGATGGCTCAGTGGTTAAGAGCCTGACTGTTCTTGCAGAGGACCTGGGTTAGATTCCCAGCACCCACATAGCTACGAACCATCCTTATCCAGTTCCAGGGGAATCCAAAGCCCTCTTCTGACCTCCATGGCATTGCATGACATGGGTGCACTCACATACATGCAGGCAATACCCTCATACACATAAAATAAAAATAATAAATAAAATTAAAAACAAAGAAACATTTGTCCAAAATCATTCTGCTAGCATCAGAGAAGTCCATAGTACCCAGCCGTTTGAGCCCAATTCTGATAAATGACATCACTGATATGGTAGAAAAATCAGCACCGGGGGCTGGAGAGATGGCTCTGCAGTTAAGAGCACTGGCTGCTCTTGCAGAGGATCCGGGTTCAACTCAAGCACCCACATGGTGGCTAACAACCATCCCTAACTCCAGTTCCAGGGAAATCCTCTTCTGACCTCCCCAGGCATTGCACGATATAGGTGCACTTACATATATTCAGGCAATACACTCATACACATATTTTTTTAGCATGCTTATCATTTTATGGCAACATTTCAAAGTTATTTATTCTCTAGTGATTTTGAAATATGGAATGAGTTATTCTTTTTTTATTATTTATATTTTTTATTTTTTAGAAGAAGCATTTCATTACAGCTTTAACATACTCAATAACAGTTTCCAGAGCAAAGATACATCTCTTTCAAAGGTGGCTATAAAATTTTTAGGTTCACTGTTGAAGTAATACAGTTATACAATATTGAGCTCAGTGTTTTAAAAAGCACAGTCAGCATTGGATTACATTGGCAGACAGCCCTCATCCCTTTCCTAGGCCCCTCCCAATCTCCTTCCACTCTGCTTTAAAATAAGAAACTAAAAGATAAAACCATACAGATTCATCACAATTTTCACTTCTTTTAAAAAATTTTTGGTTCTTTTTGAGACAGGGTCTCACTATGAGGCACAGGCTGATCTAGAACTTGCTACATTCCAGACCAGTCTGGCCTCAAACTCACAGCAATCTGCCTGCCTGTTTCCAGAGTACTGGAATTAAAGGCTGTGCCATCAAGCCCCAGAATTTCACATCTTAACAAAACTATGCTATTGCCTTAATGAGTATATTATTCTACATGCTTACAGTTGCACTGAGGATGATGGGTCAGCTTTCCTTTCTAATTTCTAACTCTGGTTTCTTGTCAGAGTTGATCTGTCTCCAAAGCCTGAAGGTTTTAAGTGATTCTCATCAAGTCTTTGCTGTCAGCTGAAAGTATTCCTCATCTTCCCTTTCTTATCTTTAGAACAGTCTCAGAGATTGAAAAATGTGCTTACTTTTATTAAATGTTACATTCATTAGTCCCTATGAATAAAAGTTAATCCCTTTTCACACCAAAGGAAATACGCTGCATTCTGTTCACACAGCTGTTAGCCCAAGCCTGAGACCAGAGCTCTCAAGCATGCTGGCTGCTGTGTGCTGAACCAGACTGTACCACATTCTTGGCAATGGCGTCTCTGTGACTGCCATATGCTGCACACAGTTAGCATAATTGTATGTTTTTGAGAGAAATTTAAAAGATGAGAAAAGCATTTGAAAATAGATTAAAATATATCTTGATAGTCACGCTTTTTGATATTCACTCAATAGTAGAATGAAGTGTAAGAATAAATAAATGAATTTTCATAAACCAAAACTGCATTATACTAGAATAAAAATATAAATTCTATAATTGTAAGTATGGACTCAGGAGACTGAGGCAGGTAGATGTCTGTGAAATTTGAGGCCAGGCTGTCTACATTGTGAGTTCTAGGCTAGCTACATAGTGAGACTCTCTTAAGGAAGAAAAAAAAAAAGTGGCTTAAAAAGAGGAGGGTCAACACAGAGAAAATATTTCCTCCATGCTTCCAGGTGAAGCCAGCCATGGTCGAGTAGGACCTTTGACTTATCTTCAAATAGATTGAACTGGTAAAAGAAAGGAGCCAGGGGCTCCTCCCAAGCCCATGTGACCCTAAGGAGCAGATCCTCAAACAACCTTAAGAGGAAAAATAAATTGGTTTATCTGTGCCAACTGTTTCATCTTAAACACCAAAAAAGAAAGTATAACCAAAGATTAAAGGGATCAATATAATTGTTTTAACAGTCCACGTAGTCCAAGCTACATAACAAGAAACAATGCCAGACAGGAAATACCTTCACTTTGAGTTGTTGGCCAGGGTGGCCCAAGAGATTCCCAGACAGTAACGCAGCATAGAACTGGGTAAATGAACAGCAGACCCCAATCTTATCTAAAGGAATATTGACAACTGATTGCTGCTAGATGAGGAAGAGCTGATCTTCCTAAAACAAGGATCTCTAGATAGG